GAAGAAGACTGACTTCCCTTAAATCATTCCCTATTGTCCCATCTCCCCTCCTTACCAATCAGTTCATCAGGAATTTTAATTCCTCTTTTGGTTACAGTGTTGCTTTAGAAATGTTTATTTCTGGTTATATCCAATTCCAGGCAACATCACTTTGGCAGTTTCAGACAGAAGGGAGAATTTCCTAGTAGTGAATTTAGATTATTCTACAATCAACTTCTCCAACTTGAAAAAAATATTCAACTACTACTACACACCAATTAGAATAGCCAAAACCTAGAACGCTCAGATGCTGTTGAGAATGCGAAGCAGAAACTCTGTCATTGCAGGTGGGAATGCAACATGGTGCGGCCGCTTTGCAAGATGGTGGTTCCTTACCAAATTAAACCTACTCTTACGATTACCATACGATCCGGTCATCACACTCCTTGGTATTTACCCAGAGTTGAAAACTCATGTCCACACAAAAACCTGCACATGCATATAGCAGCTTCATTCAGAACTGCCAAAATTTGGAAGCAACCAAGATGTCCTTCAGGAACTGAATAGAGAAATAAACAGCGGTGCATCCAGACAACGGAATACAGGATTATTCAGCGTTAAAAAGAAATGAGCTGCCAAGCCAGGAAAAGACATGGAAGAAACTTAAATGCGCATCACTACATGAAAGAAGCCAATCTGAAGAGGCTACATATGGTATCATTCCAACTATATGACATTCTGCCAAAGGCAAAACTATGGAGATAGTAAAAAGACCAGTGTTGTCTAAGGGTGGGGAGAAGAGAGGAATGAATCCATGGGACAGGGGGGACTTTTAGGGCAGAGAAAATATTATGTACCTTACTACAATGATGGATACCATCATTATGCATTTGTCCAGATCCACAGAATGTATAACACCAAGCATGAACCCTTATCCCTTATGTAAACTATGGAATTTGATTTGCTGCTGCTGATGTGTCAATGTAGGTCCATTAATTGTAACAAATACACCCCTCTGCGGGGGGAGATTGCTGGTGGGGGAGGCTGTGCATGTGGGAAAGGGGGTATATGGGAACTCTCTATGCCTTTCTCTCAATTTTGCAGTGAATCTAAAACTGCTTAAAAAATAAAATCTGGCTAGGTGCGGTGGCTCACGCCTGCAATCCCAGCACTTTCAGAGGCCAAGGCGGGCAGATCACGAGGTCAGGAGATAGAGACCATCCTGGCCAACACGGTAAAACCCCGTCTCTACTAAAAATACAAAAAAAAAAAATTAGCTGGGCATGGGGGCACGTGCCTGTAAACCCAGCTACTCGGGAGGCTGAGGCAGGAGAATCACTTGAACCAGGGAGTCAGAGGTAGTGAGCTGAGATCACACCACTGCACTCCAGCCTGGTGACAGAGACTCCATCTCAAAAAAAAAAGAAGAAAAAAATCTTAGGGTTACAACCTTTTGCTCGGCAGTGAAATCAACTTGCCAATTGGGACTAGTGTTAAAAATAAATGAAACAGGGTTGGCCGTGGTGGCTGACTCCTGTAATCCCAGCACTTTGGGAGGTTGAGGCGGGTGGATCACCTGAGGTCAAGAGTTTGAGAGCCAGCCTGGCCAACATAGTGAAACCCAGTCTCTACTAAAAATACAAAAATTAGCAGTGCATGGTAGCAGGCACCTGTAATCCCAGCTACCTGGTAGGCAGAGGCAGGAGAATAGCTTGAACCCAAGAGGTGGAGGTTGCGGTGAGCCGAGATTGTACCACTGCACTCCAACCTCGGCAACAGAGCAAGACTCCATCTCGAAAACAAAACAAAACAAAACACAGCCTATCTCAAAGCCCTCCTGCTCTCAGGCACTAATGTATAATGTTCCTTTTGTCAGAAACCAACCCCTGATTAACAATTTCTCCCTAGATTGACAATTTCTTATTCTTTCGGTCTTAGCTCAATTCCTACCCCTCCTCACGCTGGAACAAATAGCCCTTTACAACCTGTGGAAACGCTCACCTTTCCTGCATAGTACTAATCACACAGGTAATTTTTTTTTTACAGCTCTACTGAGGTATAATTTACATTACCATAAAATTCACCCACTGTAAGTGTAAAAGTCAATGACTATTTTTGTAAATGTATCTAAAGTTGCCACAACACTACACTCCAGTTTTAGAACATTTCTATCACTCTCCCAAATTCCCATGAGCTAATCTGCAATCTGTTTCCACTCACATTTTTTGTTGTAGTTGTTTTGTTTTTGAGATTCAGTCTCACTCTGTCACCCACGCTGGAGTACAGTGGCTCGATCTAGGCTCACTGCAACCTCTGCCTCCTGGTTCAAGGAATTCTCCTGCCTCAGTCTCCCGAGTAGATGGAATTACAGGGGTGTACCACCACGCCTGGCTAAGTTTTGTGTTTTTAGGAGAGACGGGATTTCACCATGTTGCCAGACTGGTCTCTAAATTGCTGGGCTCAAGTGATCTGCCTGTCTTGGCCTCCCAAAATACTGGGATTATAGGCATGAGCCACTGCCCCTGGCCTCCACTCACATTTAACTTTCCTGGATAGTTCATGTAAATGGGATCATGCAGTATGTAATCGTTGGCATCTAACTTTTTGCTTAGCACAGTGGTTTTCCACCTGCAGCAACTTTGCTCTCCAGAAGACATTTGGCAATAATCAGGAAACACACTTGCTTATTGCAACTGAGAAAGGCTACTACTGGCATCTTGTGGGTAAAGGTTCGTGTTATTGCTAAACATCTTACAATTGGCAGGATAGTCCCCCACAACAAAGAATTATCTTGCTCAAAATGTCAACAGAGCTAAGGTTGAAAAATCTTGACTTTTGTTTTTTCTAAAGATAGGGTCTTACTCTGTCACCCAGGCTGGAGTGCAGTGGTGCAATCATGGCTCACTGCAGCCTTGACCTCCCCAGGCTCAGGTGATCTTCCCACCTCAGCCTCCTGAATAGTTGAGACTACAGGCACATGCCACCACATCCAGCTAATATTCGTAATTTTTGTAAAGATGGGGTCTCACTTTGTTGCCAGGCTGGTCTCAAACTCCTAGGCTCAAATGATCCTCCTGCCTTGGCCTCCCAAATTGTTGGGATTACAGGTGTGAGCCACTGGGCCAAAACCCTTGACTTAACATGTTTTGAGGTTCATCCAGGTTACAGCAATAATTAGTATTTTGTTCCTAAATCGTGTTTTATTGCTGAATAATATTCCATTCTATGGAAATATCACGAGTTGTTTATCCATTTACCTGTTGATGACATTTGGTTTCTTTCCAGTTTGGGGCTACTAAGGGTGATGTTGCTAAGAACATTTATATTTAAGTCTTTCTGGGAACATATGTTTTCGCTTGGTGGGGGTACATTCCTACAGAGACCAGCGTGGCCATACAGACCCCCACCCAGGCAGTGCTGAAGGCATTAAGAAGCAGTCACTCAGAAAGAACAGCAAAGTGGGACTATCCCGGGACCAACAGCCTTCAGAGCTGAGAGCCTCAGGGGCTGACGGCATTTCATGCTGAGGGCCTCAGGCAGATTCTGACTCACCCAGTTATTCTCTCTGAACGGGTGATTATTATTAACAAACAGGTGTTCTGTGTTTTCTCATAGAACAAAAATAAAGTAGGTAGGCAGCTGGTGCCTACTTACCACTGATCACAGACAAACCAGAAAGCATTCTCCACGAGGGAGCCACGGGGGCGGGCGCACACATCTCATGCTTAAAGACTTGTTTTAACCGGTGTATGATATACATATACTGTCTTGCTACTTTAGAATGCCCCGAGTAGTTTTCCACTTGGGCGGGGGGCCCATGGCTAGATTTTCCTTGCCATCGTTCTTCTTAGCAAACAATATATTTACCATACAGGCAGCATTTCTCAACACATTCCTAAGAGTGGAATTGCTAGGTTATATGTTACTTTATTTATTTTTGAGACAGGGTCTCACTCTGTCTTCCAGGCTGGAGTATTTGTTAGTGGTGTGATCTTGGCTCACCCACCGCAGCCTCCACCTCCCAAGTTCAAGCGATTCTCCTGCCTCAGCCCCCTAAGTATCTGGGATTATAGGGGCCTACCAGCATGCCCAGCTAATGTTCGTATTTTTGGTAGAGATGGGTGTCACCATGTTGGCCAGAATGGTCTCGATCTCCTGACCTCGTGATCCGCCCACCTGGACCTCCCAAAGTGTTGGGATTACAGGCGTGAGCCACCGCACCGGGCTGAGATCACATCTTAAGGACCAGGATGGGGAGTTAAATTGCAAAGTTAGGCCAAAAGGCAAAAGCGGTATAATAAAAATTACTTTATATATTTATTTATTTATGAGACGGAGCCTCCCTCTGTCGCCCAGGCTGGAGTGCGATGGCGCGATCTCGGCTCACCGCAACCTCGGTCTCCCGGGTTTAAGCGATTCTCGTGCCTCAGTCTGCCGTGTAACTGGGATTACAAGTGCGCCACCACGCCCAGCTAATTTTTTTATTTTCAGTAGAGATGGGGTTTCACCATATTGGCCAGGCTGGTCTCGAACTCCTGACCTCAAGTGATCCGCCCGCCACAGCCTCACAAAGTTCTGGAATTACAGGCGTGAGCCACGGCGCTCCGCCAAAAACAAAACAACACAAAACCTGATTTAAACATTGAAGTGAGATGCATGCTCACCGAGGAACGTATGGCCGTTGGGTGGAATGGCAGGGGACTTGGAAACTTCCCTCCCACTTGTTTGACTTGACATAGGCTAACTACGATGTGATTCTGCTTGACTGGTGTCCTCCTCGTTTTAGGGATGGGGGAGTGGGGCCTTGAAGTGGGCAGGAAGAAAGGGGAGAATGGAGGCCGGCTCCCTGCAGGCTGTGGAGTGAGAGGTCTAGACGGAGGCTGGGGCTGAGGAACAGGGTCCTGAAGCTGAGACGGGATCGCAGCGGGGGCCACTGATTCCTCAGGAAGCCAGAGAGCAGCGAGCTGAACCCCATTCCACATCTCCCCCGATCCGCAACCCTTCCCTACCTGGTTACTCACCTGCTCTGAAGGCTCCAGGTTTCCCTGGCCACAGCTATCGCCGCGGTCCCTGCGTTGCTAGGTTACTCGCCAATCTCAGAAGGCGGGACTCGGCGTCTGACTGACGTTTCTTTTCACCATTCAATTCCTTGTTCCGCTCAGTTGTTACCCACCTCCTGAAGCCTGACCAATCAGAAGCACCGTCATTTTGACCTTTCACCAATAGAAAGACTTGGGACTCCCTCTGGGTTGGCCTCAAAGAGTAAGGCGGGGCAGATGGGAGGAGAAAGGGGCGTGGATTCTTCGTCCCGCCCCTTCTTTAGGAGGCGGGCAGGGAGTACTGCATCGGCAGCGGGCGAGACCTGCGGAAGGACGTGAGATATGACCAATTAGAACTCATCACGGTATCCCAGTTAGCCAGTAGGTCGCTGTCAAGGGGAAAAGGGGCGGAGCCAGCGGGGTTGAGAGGACGGTAGGCGGCGGATGGGAGAGCTGGCGCAGCTGCCGTGGTGGCAGTGGCTGAACTAGCTGCAGCTGCGGCGGCTGCGGCGGCAGCAACAGCTTCGGGCTCTAGGTTTTGGCGGCGGCGCCGGAGGGCTGGGCTGCGCGGTGCGGACCCCGGCGTGTGCTCCGGGTTGCTGGGGCGGCGCGTGTAAGAATCCGAGGGATGCGAGGGCTTGGCCCGAGGGAGAGGGCAGGGACCAGGGGTCAGAGGGCGCGGAGTAAGGGGTTGTGGCGTGGCACTCTGGTGTGGGAGGTGGGCTGGACGGGCCCGGAGGGGCCGCGGGGAAGGCTCCGGCGCGCTTCTCTCCGTCCAGCCCGGGCGGGGGCTTTGCATCCCCTCTCTTCGCCCCCAACTTCTTGGGACGACCCTCACGTGGGCGCCCAGCCAGCGGGTGGGAGCACGTGGAGCTGGAGCCGGCGCTCCTGCCTCCTCCTTCCTCCCTCCCTCGCCCTTCTCCCTGGCGCCCTCAGGTGACCCCGCAGGAGTCTAGTGCCCGGGTCAGCTGCCCCAGCGGACCGTGGGATGGCAGCTGGCCCTCTCTTCCCCTGGGCCCTTTCCTCAGGGCTGGCCATTTGGGTTCTCTCTAGAGGCGGAAGCAAAGCCTGCGGAGGGAACACTGGACTGGGACTCGCTCAGAACCGGGACTCAGGAATCCCGGGTTCTAGCCCTGCTTCTGCACTGTGTGACCTTGGGCAAGTCTCTTCCCCTCTCTGGGCCTCATTTTAGTCTCCCTGGAAAAATGATGTGTTTGAATTCAAATCGGGGGACTTGTTCTAGTCGTAGGTGTATGTAGAGTGATGGTTAAGCAGGGAGGGTCCCTGAGTTCAGACTGCCTGGGTTGAAACTTAGAAGAGGCAAGTTAATCACTCCAAGCTTCAATTTCCTCATTCGTAAAGTGGGGATATAGGCTGAGATAGGATTTTTCAACAGCAGCTCAGTTGACATTTTGAGCCACGTAATTCTTTGTTTCTGCAAGTCTCACCTGTGCATTGTGGCACGTTCAGTGGCATCCCCAGAATTCACCCACCAGCAATCCCCCCACTCCCAAGCTGTGCCAGTCAAAGATGTCTTCAGACACTGCTGATGTCCCCGTGGGGGCAAAAATCACCCCAGTTGAAACCAATCAGCAAAGACAATACAGGCAGACAAGCAGTCATATATTAAACAGTGAAACAACCGAGTCCAGCCTTCTGAATTGGAGGACTTCTTAGCTTATCTGTGTGGCAGATATGAAAATTATACACGAACCCCACCCCCTGCACCTCTTTTTTTTTTTTTTTTTTTTTTTTTTTTTTTTTTTTTTTAAGCTCATCGTTAGTGTATTTTATGTGTGGCCCAAGACAGTTCTTCCAGTGTGGCCCAGGGTAGCCAAAAGGTTGGACAGCCATGAGTTAAAACATGGAAACCACTACCCATTATGATAATGGTAACATTAAGAAACCTCTTCTCTGTTGAGTTAATAAATTCTCCTACCTTCAAAGCAAATATGGGAGAGAACTGTCAAAGCTGAGTAATGGATACAGGGAAGTTTAAGTATTGAGTATGTTTGAAAATATCTGTGGTAAAAAGTTCAACCAAAAAGATAATACAACCGTAATTCTTACGACTGCCAAATAGTAGCGTTTCATCTGGTATTTCCTCTTCTGCCTCTCTACTGCTGAGACTTTTAAAAGCAAAATAAATCCCCAGATCTGGAGGAAACTTAAAAAAAAAAAAACTCACAGGAAGTGTGCTGGGCACAGAGCTACAGAGCTTAGCAGCAAGTAGAACGGTGTTTACTTTTGCTGCCCTGTTTTAGAAAGATGTACCGCTCTCTGTGGATGCACAAGGCTTTGCTCGGAGTTGCTCCAATGATTCGCGGAAGAAGTCAGTTGCCCAGTTGCAATTGACTAGGTTGGTTAGGAGGCGAAGTGGGTTGAGCCCAGAGCCCACAGCTTGAGGAAGGAACCTGCTGCTGTTTGCAAGTTCAAAGGTCTGTGGTCAGATCTGCTGAGTCTTTTTTTTGTTGTTGTTGTTTGGTCCTCAGCGGAAATGGGAGTGTGCATAAATAGGAGCTGTAACAGGCTAGCTCAGAGTGTTTTACTTATTTATTTTTAAATTTTAATTTAATTTAGTTTTTGAGACGGAGTCTTGCTCTGTCTCCCAGGTTGGAGTGCAGTGGAACGATCGGCTCATTGCAACATCTGTCTCCTGGGTTCAAGTAATTCTCCTGCCTCAGCCTCCCCAGTAGCTGGGATTACTGGCAGGTGCCACCACACCTGGCTAATTTTTATATTTTTAGTAGAGACCGGGTTTCAGCATGTTGGCCAGGCTGGCCTCAAACTCCTCACTTCAAGTGATCCACCCACCTCAGCCTCTCAAAGTGCTGGGATTACAGGCGTGAGCCACCGTGCTTGGCTGCTCTGAATGTTGTATTTTTTAATTTTTGTTTTTTTGAGATGGAGTCTTGCTCTATCACCCAGACTGGAGTGCAGTGGCGCAATCTTGACTCACTGCAATCTCTGCCTTCTGAGTTCAGGCTATTCTCCTGCCTCAGCCTCCCAAGTAGCTGGTATTACAGGCGCGTGCCACCATGCCTGGCTAGTTTTTGTATTTTTAGTAGAGACGGGGTTTCACCGTATTGGCCAGGCCGGTCTTGAACTCCTAACCTCAGGTGACCCACCCACCTCAGTCTCCCAAAGTGCTGGGATTACAGGCGTGAGCCTCTGTGCCTGGCTGTTCTGAGTGTTTTAAATTTGGAGTTAAAGATGAGCTCTTTTACTGTATTAAAAAACACTCATCACTTAAAAAGACTACACTTGTCTGCTTCCTCAGACACTGAAATCTAAGAGAACAACTCCTATGTAAGAATAGTACAAATGATATAAAACTGATACATTTTGGAAGTATGTTTCTAATTGTTCCTGAGAGGCTGCTTGGTAAAGCTAAAGTGAAAGATGTATTTTAAATCTGTATTTTCAGGCAAGTATGTATTGGTGATTGAAGCTAGGAGCTACCTAAATACACAGTCCAGACTTCGAGGAATTCTAGTGTAATGGCTAAGAATACAGATTCGGAGTCAGACCGTATAGTTGAAAGCTTGGCTCTTTTTAGCTGTGTGGGTCCTTGGGCAGGATGCTTAACCTCTCGGTGCCTGAAGTGTCCCCCACCCCCATCCTGTAACAGGGAGATAGTAAGCCTACCTATCTCATGAGGTTATTAAGAATTTTCGGTTAACTTACGGAGTTCTAGTAGGGTCCCTCGTTCATAGTAAGTACTCATTGAGGATTAACTGTTACTTGAATTGTATTTTTTGGTGTCATTTTATTTTATTATTTATTTATTTGAGATGAAGTCTGACTCTGTCGCCCAGACTACAGTACAGTGGTGTGATCTCGGCTCACGGCAAACTTTGTCTCCCAGGTTCAAGCGATCCTCCTGCCTCAACCTCCTGAGTAGCTGGAGTTAGAGGCCCACCACCACACCCAGCTAATTTTTATATTTTTAGTAGAGACAGGGTTTTACCATGTTGGCCAGGCTGGTCTCAAACTCCTACCTCAGGTGATCCGCCTGTCTCAGCCTTCCAAAGTGCTGGGATTACAGGCATGAGCCACCACACCCAGCCTTTTATTTTATTTTTTTAGAGACAGGGTTTCACTCTGTTCCCCAGGCTGGACTGCAGTGGTGTGATCACTATAACCTCCAGCTCCTGGGCTCAAGTGTTTCCCCCACCTCAGCCTCCCAAGCAGCTAGGCCTGCAGGCGCGTGCCGTCATGCCCAGCTAATTTAATTTTTTTTATTTTGTAGAGATGGAGTCTTGCTACACTGCCCAGGCTGGTCTTGAACTGCTAAGCTCAGGCAGTTCTCCCACCTTGACCTCCCGAAGTGCTGGGATTACAGGTGGGAGCCACTGTGCCCGGCCTATTTTTTTTCTTTAAAGTTGTTACAAAACTTACAAATAAATATAAAGAGAAGTGGAGGTAGAACATATTAGCCCTAATCTCACTCTCTAGACAGAATTATCCTTGACTTCCGTATTTGTTCTTACAGCATTCCCCTCCTCCATATTTTAATGCTATTATACTGTAATAATTCTTTTATTTTTATTTTATTTTATTTTATTTTTTCTATAGTTCTTTTTATTTATTTTTTTGAGATCGAGTCTCACCCTGTCACCCAGTCTGGAGTGCAGTGGCTCCATCTTGGCTCACTGCAATTTCCGTCTTCCAGTTTCAAGTGATTCTCCTGCCTCAGCCTCCCGAGTAGCTAGGATTACAGGAGTGTGCCACCATGTCCAGCTAACTTTTGTATTTTTAATAGAAACAGGGTTTCATCATAATGGCCAGGCTGGTCTCAAACTCCTAATCTTGTGATCTGCCTGCCTCCCTAAGCGCTGGGATTACAGGTGTGAGCCAATGCGCCCAGTCTAATTCTTTTATTTTTTTCAGAGATGGCGTCTCACTCTGTTGCCCAGGCCAGAGTGCAGTGGTACAATCCTAGCTCACTGTAGCCTTGAACTCCTGGGCTCAAGTGAGCCTTCCGAGTAGCCGAGACTACAGGTGCATGCCACCTGCCCAGCGAATTTTATTTATTTTTGTATTTTAAATATGTATTTATTTTTTCTGTGTGTATGCTTACGCAACTGGCTATTTAAAAAAAAATTTTTTTATAGAGATAGGGTCTTGCTATATTGCTCAGGCTGGTCTCAAATTTCTGGCCTTAATCGATCTTCCCACCTCAGCCTTCCAAAATCCTGGGTTTACAGATGTGAGGTACCCCACTAGCCAGTTTTTTTTAAATTGAGATATGATTTACCATTTTATTATTTATTTATTTATTTAGAGACAGGGTCTCACTCCGTTACCCAGGCTGGAGTGCAGTGGTGCGATCTCGGCTCACTGCAACCTCCACCGCCCGGGTTCAAGCTAGTTGTGTGCCTCAACTTCCTGAGTTGCTGGGATTACAGGTGCCCACCACCAAGCCCAGGTATGTATTTTTTGTAGAGATGGGGTTTCGCTATGTTGGCCAGGCTGGTCTTGAACTCCTGGCTCAAGTGATCCACCTACCTTGGCCTCCCAAAGTGCTGGGATTACAGGTGTGAGCCACCACACCTGGCTCTAATTAATTCACCATTTCAAAGAGTATAATTTAGTGGTTTTTATTCACAAGGTTGTGCAACCCTCACCACTAATTTCAGAATATATTAATCAGTCATGGCTGTGTTTTAATAATTATCTTTTATTTTTTAAATTCTCAAACCCTAGAAGATGCCTCTCATGGAGGAGTTTCTGAGCAGCACCTCTGGTCCAGTGACTTTGAAAGGGAGCTCAAACCAGAGAGTGTTTCAAGCCCTGGACGTCACATCCTGAGGGCCACAGGAGAAGAGAACATGGCTGTGAGTTTGGATGACGACGTGCCCCTCATCCTGACCTTGGACGAGGGTGGCAGTGCCCCACTGGCTCCCTCCAACGGCCTGGGCCAAGAAGAGCTACCTAGCAAAAGTAAGATGGTGGGGAGCGCTGGAGGGACCCCAGCGTTTCTGTTTCAGAGGCTGAGAGGTGATAAGTGCTTTGTGGTCTGATAGTAGGGGCCTGTAACTTGCTGCCTGGCCACATGTTTGAACCCCAAATTCTGATACAGAAACTACTCCCGAGAGACTGTGGGTTTCTCCTTCCACACCCCCAGCTTGGCAGTGTTTCCAGGGGCCTAGCTGCTGCTCTTCGAGCCCTCATTCCCTTTGCCAGCTGCCTGCCTTGCACCTGAGGTGACTTGGCCTGCCCGCGGATGCTTGGCGGGGGCCTCAGACCAACCTGCTCTGGCTGCCGTCCCTGCCCCATTCCTTCTTAAAATAAGAAACAGATTTCAGCACCAGCCTCCGTCTGTCCCCATCTGAGACCGTTGGCAGGAAAGCAGCACTGCCTGCATCTCTGCTCCATCTCAGTCCCTCCTTGCCCAGGACAGCGGGGAAGAGGACGGGTGTTTTGTCGTGATCCATTGATTTGAGGGTTTGGGGTTTCGCTTTGACTTCCTATGAACCGAAGCCTAGCACAAAGTGAGCCCAAGTGCAGCAAGGAGCTTTAAATATTTTAAATTTTAAGTGTGTTTCTGGCAGAATGAGAGGTCTTAAAAACCTTTCTGGTTCTCATCCCGAAGCCATTTGTCTCAGTTGCTCATGCCTTGGGCTCAGGAGAGGCTTAAAATAACCTGTCTTTTCTGGAGGGTCCTAAGACGTCAGGAAGCAGTGCTTTAGGGTCCGCTTAGCAAATGCATGCTCCACATCTCCCAGTGCTCCCCAGCCAGGGCAGACGGGGAGTGTTCTCCCGTTCATAAGTGAAGATGTTTGGGGCCAGGGAGAGACGAGCCAGGCTCTCCCGTCTCCTTTGTCCAGGGAGAATGCAGTTGAGTTGCAGGGAGCTCAGCAGCCTCCCCTGGGAATTACTGAAGGAGAGCAGTGTTTCCAGGGATGTGAGTGTGGCGGGGAGCCCTGGCTTCCTAGAAACAGGCCTCTCTTTGCTTCGCCGTGTTCACCCTCATCTAGGGTGGCAGAGCCGGGCTGCTCAGGAGGATTCGAACGTAAATCAGATTTTTCCCCGTGCCACTCAGGGATGAGAAAGCAGTGGCTCTGATTTCAGACTATCTGTTTTCTTTCAGAAATCTCTTTGCAAGGATAGGGAGTATTATCCCTATTTTACAGAGGAGGAAACTATGGGTCAGAGAGGGCAAGTAACTTGCCTGAAGTCACCCAGCCAGGAAATGGTTGAGCAGAGATTTGAACCCAGCATCATCTGACTCCAGAATTCCTTCTCCTTCTCTTCCTTCGTTTCCTTCTCCAGCTGCTCCTCCCCCTCCTTTTTTCTTCACTACCCTCAATAAATTTCTTCACTACCTCAAGGTGGGAGCACGGTGGCTCCCACCTTTAGTCCCAGCCCTTTGGGATGCCAGGGCAGGAAGACCACTTGAGCCTAGTGATTTTGAGTTCAAGACCAACCTGGGCAACATAGTGAGAGACCTCAGTTGTACAGAACAATTAAAAACTTATCCAGGTATGGTGGTACATGTCTGTAGCCCCAGCTACTCAGGAGGCTGAGGTAGGAGGATTGCTTGAGCCCAGGAATTCAAGGTTGCTATGGGCTATGATTGCACCACTGCACTCCAGCCTGGGCAACAGAGCGAGACCCTGTCTCAAAAAAAAAAAAAAAAAAAAAAAAAAAATGAGTACAGGCCTTTAGCATTTATATTATCTCCTTATATATAACCTCAATATAGAGTTGTTATTATTATCTATATTTTATAGAGGAAGAGACAAGCTCAGAAAGGTTAAGTAACTTGCCCAGGGTCACACAGCTAGTAAGCAGTAAAGCCTGTCTGATCTTTCCTCCTGCACCACAGCGGAAGGTGCTTTGGGGAAGGGGTGAAAGTGAATGTGACTCAGCTTTAGAGAAGAATGCGGCCTAGTGAGGGTGTGGCTCGTGTCTGGAAATAGCCAGGCTCAGGATTCTAAATGGGAATCCTGGCTGTCATCGCAAGTGTCACTTTTAAGTCCCTCCAATGTGCCCGAACTGCTGGTTGGGCGTCCAGCTTTCCTGTGGGATGAAAGGGGCAAGAGAGCAGCCCAGTCCTGTGTCAAGCTCAGGCTTTGAGCTGCTGATGGAGCTTGATGAATAGGAAATAGGCCAGAGACACAGTAAGACTCCCCTTGGCTAGGCCGCTAGCGACGCTGCTTTTATCTTGGCAAACTCAGTGGCTTATTTTGGTTTGTTTCTCAAGAAATATATCACTAACTGCTGGGGTCCAGGGACACTGTGTTTCCTGCACAGCATATTAGTATCTTAGTTTCCTCTCTCAGCTTCTTACTGGTTCGTTTTTAAAACCTCAGTGAACTGGTGGGTGTAATTCTCCAAGCCTGGCTGAGAAGAAGGGTAGGACCCGTCCAAGTAAACAAGAGATTTCAAAGGAGGCCTGCTCCACCTTAGCATAGGCCTTTGATATTTTGTGCTTGGGTTTTGGCCTTGACCTTCTACCCCAGCACGCTCCCTGTCCCTGCTGTCTGAGGAGCAGTCCTTCAGTCCTTTTTTTTTGAGATGGAGTCTTGCTCTGCTACCCGGGCTGGAGTGCAGTGGCACAATCTCGGCTCACTGCAACCTCCATCTCCTGGGTTCAAATGATTCTCCTGCCTCAGCCTCCCAAGTAGGTGGGATTACAGGCATGAATCACCACACCAGGCTAATTTTTTTTTGTATTTTTAGTGGAGATGGGGTTTCACCATGTTGGCCAGGCTGCTCTCGAACTCCTGGCCTCAAGTAATCCACCTGCCTCAGCCTCCCAAAGTGCTGGGATTACAGGCGTGAGCCACCATACCCAGCTAATTTTTTTTGTATTTTTAGTGGAGATGGTTTCACCATGTTGGCCGGGCTGCTCTTGAACTCCTGGCCTCAAGTGACCCACCTGCCTTGGCCTCCCAAAGTGCTGGGATTACAGGCATGAGCCACTGCGACCAGCCCTGAGCAGTCCGTCTAAAGCACAAGCCCAACCTGGTGGTTTCTCTGTTTTAAAGCTGCTTTTTACTCTCCCATCCAGGGGGGCTGGGGAGGGCAAGCTCTTCAGCCGGCAGATGAAGCCTTGCGTGTTCTATGGCCTTCTTGCTTGACCGGTCCCATTTCCTGCCTCACTCCACAGCATCCTACGGCATTTAGTTTGGTGAATCCCCTGCGCATTCTTAAACCTCTCCACCTTGCTGGCAAGTCAGTCTAGACTGCGTTTCTCAGCCTCTTGTTTGCTTGTGGCCTCCAGTGCTGTCTTGAAAATCCTGCTGATAACACCATCTCTTTGAAGCCTTCACTGAACTTCCGCTTCCTGACAGAACTAATTACTCACTACCCTTTTCTGCTTCGGTATCTTGATTAGGCTTCCATTATTACAAGTAGATTATGGTGGGGTAATTGCACGTTTAACTATCTGATCACCTACTAGGCCCTGAGAGCCATTTATCTTTTTTTTTTTTTTTTTTGAGATAAAGTCTACTCTGTCGCCCAGGCTGGAGTGCAGTGGCACCATCTCAGCTCACTGCACTCTCCACCTCCCAGGTTCAAGTGATCCTCCCACCTCAGCAGCTGGGACTACAAGCATGCGCCACCATGCCTAGCTAATTTTTGTATTTTCAGTACAGATGGGGTTTCACCATGTTGACCAGGCTGGTCTTAAACTCCTGACCTCGAGTGATCCACCCACCTCGGCCTCCCAAAGTGCTGGGATTACAAGTGTGAGCCACCATGCCTGGCCCAAGATCCATTCATCTTTGTATCACATAGCTTAATGCCCACAATATGCAGGTACTCAACAAACCGTCGTCAGAATCGACCTACATGGATTTCTGGGGCCTTGCAGCTCATGGGAGTGGCTGTTTGAGGGCCCCAGTCAGAGGTGGGCAGCCTCCCTTTTGCTGTCTCTCCCACCATAGGTTTGAGTCCCATTGCTCTCAGCATAGCTGAGTGTCCTGGTGGCTGCCATCACTGACCTTTGTCTTTGGCTGCTGTAAACTTTTGAGGTACTAAGGAGTTGGCAGAATGCAGATGGAGGCCATCCGTGGAGTTGGCAGTGACATGAGTGTGGGCCACTGGGAACGAAGCAAGCTTTCTAAGGCGGAGTCGCCATCAAGCCTGGCTTTTGTTTTGGCCCAGCAGCCACTGAGGCCTTCTCAGCACTGTATCTCCACGCTCCATGTCTGTTTGGGCACCCCTAACAAAACACCATGGACTGATGGCTTCACCAACAGAAATCTAATCTCTCACAGGTCTGGAGGCTGGAAGTCTAAGACCAAGGTGTCAGCAGGTTTGGTTTCTTGCAAGGCCTCTTTCCTTGGCTTGCAAATTGTCCACTTCTGATAAGGACACCAGTCCTATTGCATTAGGGCTCACCCATACGACCTTATTTTACCTTAATCACCTTTAAAGGCCCTTTCTCCAAACACAGTCCCATTCTGAGCTACTAGGGGTTAGGACTTCAGCCTATGAATTTGAGGGGGACACAGTTCAGGCCATCACACTCCTGCCCCTTCCTCAGAGGCAGGGGCCGAGGAATCTGGCTGTGCTGCTTGTGACCTTTAACCCTGCAGGAAACTGGAGGGTTTGGGTTTTTCTCCTTACATGGGCGAGAGAGTGGATTTAATCCAAGACTCAGACATCTTTGGGCTTTAAGAGCGGCTGCTGCAGTGCTAATGAATGAGTCACAGGCAGCACGGTGTCAGGTTGATAAAGGAGGCAGGTATGAGCAGAGGTATTTAAAGCCTGGAAACCAGGAATAACCTTGAAAACAGTCAGCAGGGCCGCTGCTAGACAGTGGTTTACAGACAGCCCACAGTCCACACCACATGGCAGGCGGTGGTCTCGCCCCCTGCGTTCAGGGAATCAGGACGTCTGGGGTGGGTAGACATACTGGGTAGTCCAAGGTGTTTCCCAGGGTAGCTCTGGTTACACTCAGCTCTGCCTTCTCCCTGCCTTTAAAG